CTTAGAGATGGGATATATGAAATAGTAATATCACTGGTTTAACATTGAAATCCGTGAGTAATATAAAATCGGAGAGCGAAATAAAAATATCGAATATTTTAATAGATTTTTTTAACTCCTGCCAACTATACAGAATTATCATAAAAACATACCAGTAAATTCTTATCGGTTGGGTTAAGTTATAAATCTACTCATGATTCATGTAATCAGGCGAGGGCGGACAAATATCTAGCAGGCAGCGCGGCTAACAGCCCAGAACCGGTGCTGGATAGAATTGGATGCGGTATACGTGTAGCATCCACCCCAAGGTCCTAGGCTTCCACCAGCTAAACCAAGTGAGGTTGGTGCTCTGTAAAGCGCATGCGCAAATCTGGCTTTTTGGATAGCAATTTTTTTTTTTTCACGTGTAGTATATAAATTTGTAATAAGATACATAATGTGGTTATAATAAAATATTGTGCGATTATTTTCATATAATTAAAATTAATATGTATTTATTTTTTAGAAAATACAAGGGAAGTGGCACATCCACAACTTCCAATGATGGCACGCCACTGAATTTTATAGATATTCCATAAAATTAATAAAATATGCAAATTGTTACATAATAATTACTGTAGAGCATCAATTATCCGAATCAATTGGGGACTGGGGTTGTTCAGAAAAATTGATTTTTCGGATAACCGATTATGTACAAAAAATATATTAACCTATCCCATGTTAAAATTTGTTCAAATCCTGGCACGTCCTTAAGTGTTCTCTCATGGTCACGCCAGTGCTGCCAGCTAAAACACACGCCAACAAAAATAATATTGGAGTAGCCCAAGATATAGCCAAAGCACCACCACAGCACTAACGGAAATTTAAATTTGCCGACTGGAAAGTTTTCAGTTAATTGACATTTCAGTTGATAGATATTTGGATAATCGATGCTGTACTGTATCTGTTGTCTGAAATTAGAAAAATGTCGCTTCATTTCAAATAAAGCATTTTTGGAATATGACTTTTTAAAATTAATATCAATATTATATATTATATGTATTCATTAGTGTGGTACAAAGTCAATAAATTCAATAGGAAAATTTTTATTGACCAGAAATTACATAAATTTTATTTACAATTTATTAAAGGAAATATATCAACAAAATTCTTTATATGATAAACATTTATTCAGTTTATATATTTGCTTCTTAGTTAAATTTTTATTGAAAAAAGTTGATGATTTTTGTTGTACTGTAGTTTGTTTATTGGGAGAAAAGAAATAATTTACAATTATTTCTGTCCAAAAAATACATTTTATCTTGTTCTGACATCTCATTTATTTATTTAAAATTAAAATGCAAATAATTTTTTTTAAATTTAGTTTTATTTTTTAGATTAAAAACATTAATGTTATCTTTTTAAAAAGATAGATTATTAAAATTATATTTTTTAATTTGCTAATTTGGTTTCAGTTTATGGATTGAAAATGCTTTAAATACCAAATTAGAATACATAATTATTTGAAAGTTAATAATTTAATACAAATCTCTATACTTATTACTATTATTAATAATAATAAAACTCATAATTTTTAAAAAACATTCACTAAATAAATAGGATTGCATCCCATACAAAGACTATGAATGTCTAAAATACACACATCAAAGCAAAGGAAAAACCTTACACTATCACACACAGTAGAGCGTCGATTATCCGAATTAATTGGGGACTGGAGTTGTTCAGAAGATAGATGTTTCAGATAACTGATTATGTACAAAAAAATATATTAATTTATCCCATCTTGACATTTTTCTCCGTTGAATTTTCGTCGATGTTAAGCATAACGAAGACTATTGTATTGTTAAAAATTATTTTTTTATTTTGTACAAACAAAATAAATATATTGAAAAATATGAAAACAATAATTAATTATACTTCAGAAGTTAATTTAGTATCAAAAACGTAAAATATTTGAGTAGCCCAAGACATAGCCAAAGATTGCAGCACCATAGCACTGGCAAAAATGTAAATTTTCCGACTGGAATTCTTTGGATGATTGACTTTTGGATAATCGACGCTCTACTGTATTACCAAAATACATTCAAACAGAATCAACACTTTCAGACATTAATTTATTATGATGCAATGTAGTTGCATACAACAAAGTACAATTATAGATACAATCAAAACAGACAAATCATAAGCTTGCATGGCAAAAATTAAAAACACAAATACATCATGAGGTCATTCAAATATGATGTCACAAATTTTAAGTCCTTTTGACTATGTATCCCTTCATGCCATATTTTGTCACCAGTTTTTAGACACTCTTATGCTGATGTCATATTTGATCTGCCACTGTGACATTAAGATTAAATTTTATTTTGCAGAAATGCTTGTTCATATGTTTTCTGGGCCAAAGTGAGTCTAATTTTATCTATCAATAGTGTCTTTATCTGTATTCTGTGTCATATTTAAATGACCCTTTATGGTTTGAACACACATCAAGAACTATATTTAAACTGTAATTTCATTCATTTATTTTATCATTTTTTAATTTTATGTCAATTAAAAAATGATATAAAGTAATGAAATTACAGTACCACCAATCCAAGCACAACTCATGCCTTCTTAAATTTAATTTTAAACTAAAAGAAATCCCTCTTAAATAAATCTAAAACATCATTAATCATTAAACAAGAAATCTAAAATTACATTTTAGATTTCTTGTTTAAGAATACTTCAATATCAATCAATTATTTCATTCTTATTATAATAAAATGAATGCTCAGCTATCATCCACTTATACTACATGACTGTGAATTGTTCTAGAAGAAAGATTATAGTTTGGATATTGAATTTGTTATCAAAGTTTTGTCCTAGCATCAGGAGCATTCTAGAAGATTTGTTTACAAATCAGTCTAATACTAGACAGTGATCAAAGCAATAAACACATCCTCCCAGAACACCCAGAGCAACATCTTACTTGTTAGTTACACCATTACCAAATAGCATATATAATACACCAAAAGCTTGAACACAAGCACAAACTACTAAACATCTAGGAACCATATTATCAAATACACACCTCAGATGGTCATAGAAAACAACACAAAATATACTGTGACTGACTCATAACAACAGGCCAGACATCAATTATTGAAAAACAAACCAAAAATCATATACATAATATAGTTGTCCAAACATTTAAACCAAACAAAATACATACACTGAAAAAATTAATAAGTACTAAACTTACCCACAAAATAAAACATATATTGAAAGTGGTTAAGATACTTATGCCAATAGTCCTTTCTTGTACAGGTGTTATCCCACATACACTTAACAAGTCTCAAACCATTAGGGTTTTACAGAAGCACATACATCATACTNTGGCTAAAATATTACATTACACATATAATTTTGTTCTGTTTGATTCTAATTACAGGAATATTGATTCATCTTAATCACAATTAAAGCCAATTTTGTAATTACTTATTAATACATTTATTATTATTTCTAATACCACTAAGTTTAATATTTGTTTTTGGTTTTATTTTTATTTTCAGAAGTTGCATTCGTTTATTTCAATATTATCAAGCAATTACAATGCTAATATACAGTATATAAATAGAGAAGAATTACATTTGAAAAAATTAAGAAAATACTTTTTAAAATCTTACATGATATTAAAAATACTTTTAGTTTTGAAGTTGAAATTAACATTTTATGTTTTATATACATTTAAATAGTCAAAGCAATAGAAAATTGATTTTAGCATAATTTTTAATATTTTATCATTAGCTATATTTTCACAAATTAAAGTATTTTTCATCCACATAGTTTTTATGCATTTAGTATGCATATAGAAAAATATAAAACTTTTTGAAATAGTTATTTCAATACATGCTTGCATAGATATGATTAAGTAAATCTGTATTGTATCAAATTCTTATTAAATACAAAAGTGTGCATGTGTGTGTATTTTTAAATTAAATTGCATTATTATAGTAAAGATTTAATTGTTAAATGATTTTCCAAATTACAGATATTTTCAAGATTTAAAAAATTATATTTAATATAAATTTCTTATGAAAAATTTTATTTTGTGACTACCATATATATCAATAGCAAAATCTGGCAATTGTTTGACATAGAATTTCATCCTTAAAGAATTAATATGCATAAATTATTCTCTGACAATATAAAATCTTTTACATCGATAAACTAATTATTAGAAAAGTGGTGAAACTGTACAATTATATAAAAATTTTAACTGAACAAAGTTGCATCTCTATTTTATAAGAATTTATTATTCAGTAAAAATAAAATTATATCTAAATTTATTTATTTTTATTTAATGAAAGAATAAATTTTAAAAATTTGTAAAATTTTAAGTTCATATCTAAAATTTTAATTTACTCATTTTCTTTTATCAGTTAACTAAAAATAATAATAATAAAAACTGAAATGTATTTGTGAAGGCTTTTGCTTTGAATTACTCTTTTACCTGGAATTATGAATATAAATTTGTCTGTTTAAAATTTATCATCTAGTTACGTGTTTCTATTCAGTCCAGATATGCAGGGTTGTACTATAGTTAAATGGATTAAAAACAAAATAGGCTTTGATGGCTATATACTGTAGGTATAAAGTATATGTTGACAGCTAGGACTGTGTTCGTCTTAGGTTTGCAAGCAGAAAGAAAACTGTACATATAGAATCAACAACACAGCCGCACAAGTCGCCTCTTCCCCAGTAAGTACATAATTTGCATGGCATTACCTATCCAAAGCATCTACTGTTTTTTATCGTTGATGATTATGAATGAATGCCTGGCAATGTTTATAAATTTTAATTTGTGTAGAATTTTGAAAGTACTTTAATTTATTTTCAAAATATATTATTATTATTATTAATTTTTTCCTGCATTGAATATATAGTAGCTGCATCCTTTTTAACTCTATTGCATGATAAATTTCAGCATGACAATTGGGATATGTATTCTGTATTCTAAAGGTAGATATAAAATTGTATTCTTTTGAATGATGTACTGTGTATTTCATTTTGTGGTTTTAAAGTTTTAAAACTTTTATAAATATATTTATAAAACCTGCTTATAATGACAAAATAAAATTTTCTTTGTTTTTATCTTTTAGATATATGGAACTAAGACCTGCATTTGATCGAGCCCAAGATAAAATAAGACAATTAGAATTACAATTAGAAGAATTTAAAAAAGAAATGGCTGCTCAAGAAGAATGGCATAGTCAAATGTATTTGAAAATGTATAGGTAATAAACTTTATTTGTAAGCAAAACAATATTCACTTTAAGTTACTAATCACATTCATTTGACAGAAGTGGTTATTGCAAACTAAACAAATCAAAACATTAAATAATTAAAATCTTTTTATTTGTAATAATTGCTTCTCTCAATAATAATTTAAGTGGAGATTTCTAATTCAATATGTACTGTAATTACTAATTCTTTTCTCTGTGTTCCTTTTTTTAAAATACAAATAATTAATTTATCGGTAAATCATAAGTTTAACTGACTGAATTGTTATAATTTGCATTGAACTATAACAACTGTCTGAATTTAGTTAATTCTCTCAATGAAATGTATAATTAATTCCAAACAGGCTATTGTCAATATATAACAATAATCAACCCATATAGCAGCAAAGATTTAATAAACATTTGAACATTTTTGATCATGTTTAGTGATCATCATCAGATTACAATTTTTCAATTAATTTAAATAAAAGTTCATTATAACAATGAATAACATAAAGCTTTACATAAAATATTTGAATGGAATAAGATTCATCAATTTATTTATTTGGTGTTAAGTTTAAATAATATAAGTAATAATAACTATCTTATCTTTAAAATTTCTAGTAAAAATTGTTTAATTTGTATTTTAATATGATTATATTTTCTAATTTTAGTTTTAAATAATTATATGACTGTTAGAAAATATATAGTTGCATCAAAAATTGAAATATTTTTGGAATAAATAACATTGAGTTAATCATATAAACCATTTGAATACTGTATTTACAATTATATTCAAAAGAATATCGAAATTTATAGGTTTTATAAATGAATATTGCTTAAACTTGATTGACTATTTCAATAATGATTAAAATTAATATTTAAGTTAATGAATGAAAAATATTTTAATATTAACTGCTGCAGTTGTTTTAGCAAGTGTTAGTAACTCCTGTCAATGCAAAGATATCAGAAATATTTAGTGTATATAAATTTTGATTGTTAAAAAAATATACTTGTATTAAATTAATTGTTGTTATTGTTGAATTATTTGTGTTAATATTTTATTAATTTTATCAGTGGTGTGCTGTGACATTTTATAGTAGGGAAGCTGTGTTTCTGTAAGAAGCCGACTTCCAGGGGCAATTAGTTAATTGCACATCAGTGATGGTCAAGGGTCCATTCGTATTGTTTGTTCGATAAGCCAGTAAAAACCGTAGACTTCTCTAAATGTGTTTTTAATATCACAATTACATTCTGAATCACTAGCACGATAAAAGGGCTAAAATTACAAATAAAATAATAAAAACTTACTTGGTGAAATAAAATGTGTGGTAGATGTACAGTACAGTGCATACCTGGTACAAAATATTCTTCAATTATATTAATATACTTTGAAAGAAAATTATAATTAAATATAGCTTTGTAAAGAAACGTACATAAAAATAACATAAAATCTTCTTTACTTTTTAAATCTTAAAACAATCCACTTA